TAGCAGTGTGTAATGATGGTAGAATAGCTGTAGCGGATATCAACAATAATTGCATCAAAGTGTTTGTAGAGTGAAGCTAATTTTAAAGTTGGAGTAAATTGGAATCTACTGCCAACAAAGAAGATTCACACAAGATGAACTCACATGTCAAGGAGCAGATAAAAGTAAGGGTGGATAACATTCTGAAAAATCTTGTAATATGAAGTAATACGCAGTAAGGAGTGTTTCTCTGTATATGAAACACCACTTGAATTCATATGATGTAATAGTTTGTCACATTTCACACCAGTCATTAGCAGAAGCAGTAAGGAACCAATCAATATAGAGCTAATGAAACCACATCGTTGGTTGCCAAGGGAAATGCATAAAATTGTATAGACCATGAATTAGGACCTGTTGGATTAATACAGTGTATATGAATTAATCAGGTGCTGTTTAATTATACTTACCACATTATTAATGATATGATGTAAACACTGTATCCCAAGAATTTTATTTTCAATCTAAAAAAATGCAAAATCAGAAAAATATTAATTACACATGTAATGAAATAAAGAAAAGAAATTAATTTAAACAATCAATAAATTAAGCTTGTCATTTTTCATCTATGTCACCTGTACCTTGAGATCCCACCCCCTCATGCTGCCTGATGTGTGTACAAAAAGCCCCCTGGTGATTAAAAAAAACATCAGAGGCAAAGTACCATATTTGATCTAATAGCAATGCACCCCAAACGAGGGCAAAGCCCAAAATGCTTGTTTTGGTGACAACTCATAGTCATCACACTTGTTCACAACAGGTCATTTATTGCATGCACTTCTAATACAACAAATATGGTAGTTCAGGAATATTTTAAACACATTTTGAACAGGAATATGGTTTCTACAATTTACCTGATAGTCATCAAGAAACAGCAATGCTGGTGGAAATATTCCATCTAAATGATCACCAAGATAGGGATGCTAAAAAGACATCAAGAATTGTCAGTAAGATAGAGGGTCATCCAGGAACAGCAATTCCGTTGGACATATTCGATCTGAAAGTCACTAAGATAGGGATGCTCAATGGGAAGAAGAATTGTCAGTGGGTTAGGCCAAGAAACATCACGAGTAATTGTGTTTCTATGGAAATGTTGATTTTCTGACAAAGCATTTTTATAATAATGAATTTCTACACTGAAAATTTAAAAATTTAATGTTATTTTGTATTCTAAAACACTTCAATGTGGTTGAAATTTTGGATGATTGCCAAGATGGTCGAACTAAATAGGTCTAAAAACTTATGCATGACCCCTAAATGTCACACATCCTGGCATTTTCTGGGGTATTGTTGACCAATATTTTCAACTGTTTTTGAACTTTCGAACAATGACAGCTACTTGCATTATAGAAAGAAATAGTTGAGAAACTCACTTTGATAGTGAATCTATACCCCCAGACATACCAGGATGTGCGACCTTTTGGGGATCATCCTCCCAATATTTGTGGCACAAAATTTTACAACTTTTTGCATTTTTCTACAATTTTTGTTAATTTTAGTCAAAATGGACATAATTACTAACTGACTGACAAGATTAAGTGATCACAAAACAGTTGTAGAAAAAAGCCCCCTCCAGTGGTGGTATGAAAAAAGTTGGAAATTACCTTAACATGGAAAAGACACCATTTAAAGATGTGACGACTTGAAAGATCAACTTTCCAGGTGTCTCTTGTTAGATGTTGTCGTAATTTGATAAGAATTCTACCAAAAATGCCTTTTCTAAAAATAGCCTTGGAATCTTCATCTTCTGGGGTTCCTCGTAACAGTTGCTGTATAGAAGAACTATGGCAGTATTGACATAGCAGATCCTGAAAAACTAGAAAAAAAAATAAGTTAAATCTAAAAATGTAAAAAAAAAAAAAATCTAGAAATATTATTTAATTTAAAAAGAAATAATTTAATCTATAAAAAAGTTAGATTTAAAATAATAATTTAGATCTAATAAAAATTAAATCGAATCTATAAAAAAAAATTAAATCTAAAAAAAGAGATTAAATAT